GGGAGATGCTGCTATACTCCGGTCACGAAAAGGAAAATGCTCCACACACTCAGGGAGTTGCTCTAATGCTGTCCAAGGTAGCACGAAATGCACTTGTAGAATGGGAATCTCACGGATCCAGAATCATCAAAGCATCATTCAAAACAAAGAAGGAGGGGATCACAATGAATATTATTCAATGTTATGCACCCACCAATGATAGCAACGACGACATTAAAGGTCAATTCTACGAGCGGCTGCAGTCAATCATAGAGAAGTGCCCAAGAAAGGACCTCATCATTCTGATGGGAGATCTAAATGCCAAAGTCGGAATAGACAACACCGGATATGAAGATATCATGGGACGACATGGACTGGGTGAGAGAAACGAAAATGGAGAAAGATTTGCAAATCTGTGTGCATTCAACAAATTGGTCATAGGAGGCACAATATTTCCACACAAACGTGTACACAAAGCTACATGGACCTCACCGGACCACACTACAGAGAACCAGATAGATCATATCTGGATCAATGAAAAATTCCGAAGGACAATGGAAGATGTGAGAACTAGGAGGGGAGCTGATATAGCTTCAGATCACCATGTAGTTGTGGCCAATTTGAAACTGAAGCTAAAGAAAAACTGGACAAACAGCACTACAAAGGTTCAATACAGTCTTCCTTCGAGATACTGACAAACTCAATGAATTCAAGACGGCTCTCAACAACAGGTTCCAAGCCTTACAGGATCTACTGAAGGAAGAAGAAACTACTATGGAGGACAACTGGAAAGGTATCAAAGAAGGATTAACTTCAACGTGTCAAAAAGTTCTGGGTCTAAAGAAGCACCATCATAAGGAGTGGATCTCTATAGAAACACTGGACAAGATCAAAGAAAGGAAGAACAGGAAGACAGCAATTAACAACAGCCGAACACGAACAGAGAAAGTCCAAGCACAAGCTGAATACGTAGAAGCAAACAAGCAAGTGGAGAAAAGCATTAGAGCCGACAAGAAGAAATACGTGGAAGAACTAGCAACGACGGCGGAAAAAGCTGCTAGAGAAGGAAATATGAAACAGCTCTACGATACAACGAAGAAACTATCAGGGAAATACAGTAAACCAGAGAGGCCGGTCAAAGACAAAGAAGGCAAGCCAATCACTGAAATTCAACAACAGCGAAACAGATGGGTAGAATACTTCGAGGAACTCCTGAATAGGCCGGCTCCAATGAATCCACCGAACATCGAAGCAGCACACACAGATCTTCCTATAGATGTCAACCCACCAACGACGGAAGAAATTAGAATGGCGGTTTGAATTATTTTTTGTGGTAAGCGTTTTTTTAGCGAGTTAGTTTTCTACGGGATGGGGACGCTAACCCTATGCCCAACCCTCCTCCTTTACCCGGGCTTGGGACCGGCAGTAACTCTAGAAGAGCTACAGGCGGAGTTCAACTATTCTATTAGTTGGTTGAAATTACAGTCGACCATGCACAAAAGAATCCGAAACAGAAATTGGATATTGGTTTGTTTCTATGAGAGAAATTTATTTAACAATTAATCAGTCAGGAACAAAAGAATATAGTGGACAATCAGTGAGTTCCAACAATAACTGTCAATGGATAATCAAACTCATCAGAGAAAAAGAACTGCTGACGGTAGAGCTATTCAACTGATCATATGATAGTAAAATATGGCATTTAAAGATACTTAATACGGAATATCTACCTGTAAATCAAGTTGCTCGTCATTTTATTTACACAAATATCTCCAAATGTTATCAGCATGGAATTCGAGATCACTTTGAAATTTATTAGTTTATTATTTGTATACAAATCACATGAAGAAAAACGATTTGTATATTTATTGATTATTATAATTACTATTTTTCGAAATTGCTAATTAAAGTTTAATGTAAAACGAACGAGATATATGAATATTCAAGTAAATCTTACGATTTAATATTTAGTATTTTATACATGAATCTATATTATCAACTTTTTCGTAATCTTGAATTCCACTAATCTTTTATATATATTCTTCAACTACGATATTGATTCCTAGTAGATTATACTCGACCTAATCAAGTATTATTCATCATAAAATTTATTTTAAAGAGGGAAGAAGAACAGGTTCATAACTGATTCTGAAGATTTAATATAAGATTGATTGTTAATTAAACAAAGCATTTGTGGATATCAATTACTTATCAACTGAAGCTTCTGCTTTGATATGGTGGCTGGATTTACCAATTATGAATTAATAAGACATTCGTTCTTTTAAATTGTATCATACCAAGGAAGTCAGTTTAATAGAGATGGGAGTAAAATCATCAAAATTTAAGGTTTGGATGCGGAATCATTCTTTACGAACAGGATTGTTACAACTACTTCAGTTTCTTTTTCAGGTCCCTCAAGAAGTTTTCTTATCACGATGTAGACAAGTAGGATATGTCTACTACCCAAAAAACCCTGACAGTATTGGGGTTTATCTTATCCACAACAAAACTTTCATTCTTCATAATATTTAAACTATCCCGATTATCAAGCCTAATTCGATTATTCAACTTCGTTTCATATGCAATCTGCGTTAAATTTCCGATCAAATTAAAAGAAAACTAAGAACGCCCAAGATATGATACTGGTTCATGAAGTTATTGACCGTTGATCTGAGCCATACTAGTACATCCAGATTACCTGGTTGGAGTCCCACGATGATCATTAGCACATGTTGGAGACTTTGGGTGACAACTGTCAGAACTGGTCACAACAGTTCAAATTCATTCACTTATTTTACTCTAGATCCCATATCCCAATATTCCTTCATACATAACTTGTCATTGTCTTTTTGAACTATTTTAAATGTCTAGTCTTTCCCATTATCCTTTATACTTAGTTGATTCGATCCCTCGGAATACAGTGGACAGCTCAGAATCAATTAGACGATTTGGACTTCGCAGATGACCTAGCCCTCCTATCGCATACACATGAACAAATGCAGATAAAGACAGCCAGTGTAGCAGCAGTCCCTACATCAGTATGCCTCAACATACACATACACAAGGAGAAAACCAAGGTCCTCAAATTCAACACGGAGAACAACAATCCAATCACTCTTGATGGCAAAACTCTGGAAGATGTAGAATCCTTCACATACCTGGGAAGCATCATCGATGAACAAGGAGGTTCAGATGCAGACGTAAAGGCAAGGATTGGCACAGAAAGGGCCGCATTCCTACAATTGAAGAACATATGGAACTCAAAACAACTTTCAACCAATATCAAAGTCAGAATCTTCAATACGGACGTCAAGGCAGTCAGTTCTACTGTACGGAGCTGAAACTTGGAGAACTACAACAACCATCATCAAGAAGGTACAAGTATTTATAAATAGCTGTCTACGCAGGATACTCAACATCAGCAACAGCCCTCTCTGGGAGAGAACAAACCAGCTTCCAGATGATGAAGAAATTAGGAAAAGACGATGGAAATGGATAGGACATACACTACGCAAATCGTCAAACTGCATCACGAGGCAAGCCCTAACTTGGAATCCTGAAGGGAAGCGGAAAAGAGGAAGGTCAAGAACACATTACATCGGGAAATAGAAGCAGATGTGAAAAGGATGAATAGCAACTGGAAAGAGCTGGTAAGGATTGCCCAGGACAGAGTTGGATGGTGAATGCTGGTGAGCGGCTTATGTTCCTTCACGAGGAGTAATAGGCCTAAATAAGTAATACTGGTACAAGGTGGCACCAGATACATGTGCGCCACACAAATGTCATTTGATTTGTGTGAGAGCTGTGATACTTCCTGGGTGGCCAAACCGAAGCAGTTGTTTTCATTAGGGGATCACACCCGGAGCCGTCGACCTAAACGTTTGATCCACAAGGCGGTGGAGCATCGTCAGGAGATGTAGTCCCATGGTAGCCGGTGACAAGTTTATTAGCAGACATTATATGCAGTGCTCAGTTAGCCATGATAGCACATGGAATTGTGGCAAAGCCATTTATGCAACGACGACGAATAATCATAAAAACTTCTTCTTTCGAAATTATATATAGAATATCTGGTGCACCAGTCTCCTCATAATAATCTTCGCTTGTTGTCCTGAAGTCATTACGATCAATGGACAGATACACATTTTTTTCCACGTAATACTTAGTTTATGTCTACAGTTTGTACCGACAGCAAAATTTTGAATCGAAGAGTCAAACAACTGGGCACTGTTCATTGTCATACTAAGTTCAACCACATACAAAGAGACTACTAATTAGAGCGCCACAAAATGATGATTTCATTAAAGAAAATTATGATCCCTAGATACTTTCACAAAAGGGAGTCTTATGTGATGATAATGTTAAAACGGTACAGGCACAAGTAAGCGCTGCTTACATTCGTATAATTGCTGTCTTACAAATTTTGACTAAGGAAAACTCGAGATTACGGGCTGCTCATTGACATGATCCATGCTTAAATACCCTTTTCTTCTAAATTGCAAACACCACATTTCCCACAACCACTAGCGTAAACATAGGTAGCTTCAACACAATTACCCAGATTGAGATTACATGAAATTAACTTGATCAGACCTATTTTGGTTTGAAAAAGGATATTCTACTTTGCACCTTTCATACTATTTGAACTTGTGTCAATTTAACTCGTTTATTTATTTATTCATTCTGTGAAGTGGCATACACTAAGTCACGATACATCAGGAATTCAATCTTCTATTCACTGAGATTTCGCAAATATATCAATATTTCTGTTATTACAATCTACCTAATACTCAATATATTCAAAATTATCAAGCCAAAGGTTGACGATTAGACTTACAAGCTCTTCATGAAAACTAAATAGATGAATCAACACAAAAGTGATTTAGCGCATAATTAAGGCAACTAAGATTGTTATTAGTGTATTATTCGCATACGTTGTACTGCACACATCATACATTATCTAAAAACTTCGACATAGTACAAAATAAGTAGCTAACCGAGAAATTTTAGAACTACAGACATAAGAACTCACAAAAATGTACTTAGAATGAACTGAAAAATTATAAATCATATCAACCAAAATGTTTATTTGCAATCCGTTGGACTCGCTTTGAGAAGCTGGATGAGGTTATTGGCTTTTCACGTCTAAAAAATGGATTTAGTGCCAACTAAATCAAAATCGAAAGTTTAAACAATTATATTCTCACCTTGATGTAGGCTTCATATGTGTCTTGAAAAAAGTACTTTATACGATTCTCATTCGATTCATCATGAAGTAAAATGAATCGAAGTCCTGAACATTAATTTGAGTTACGGTAAATGACAAATAACTGGGGTAATCAATTTTTATTGATAAAAAATGACGAAAATTTGGAATACAAAGCTTATGCTTTCTTTGTGAAATCAACTGTCTTTTTTACTATTATGGAAACGACAAAAAGTTGTTTGATATAAAAGCTGCTTTGTTCTTTGAGGTTTACAACGTTTAAATGATACTTGTAAAATACGTGAACGAAACAATACGCCACGTCTAAATAATGCGACAATATGTGGCTCTGAAGTCATACAACATTAAGAATTGATGGTTTGACGGTAGTCTTTGAGTCGAAAATGATTATGTTATCTGTTTATTTCAGTGAGACATAATTACTACAACAGCTATCTGATTGATTGTTACCAACTGCTTTACTTCTGCTATTTTTGATTAAATCTAGTAGAGGTCCTGCGAACAACCTACTTTATGGAGTAAGATAAGGTTACTTGATAATAATATCTCAATGATTTTCAAGGTAAATATGGTAGAACTGAGTTCAAGTAGCTACGTGAAACTGATTTCCGATAAGTGATTGAACCCGTGAGGTATGGTTCCACATACCGTATTCTCATTTGATGAGCCAACAATAACTAAGTTGAGTAATGCCTGAGCGGTTAGAGGATTCAGTTTTTAAAAACTGGTGCAGATATTTAAACACCGTTTTGACCCAAGCAATCATATACTATCACTAGCTTTCACATACGAAGTGTGACCTTAAGTCAAAAACAAGGACCCGTATTCAGCCCCCCCTGAGTCGATTTCTTGAAACTAGGTGGAATAAACAAAAGAAGCGAGAGAACATGTGATCAAAATTTTTGCTATGATTACCTCCGACATTTTGACTACACTCAAGAGAACTAATTCTCTGGTTTACTGAAACCCAGATCTCAAATAAACTATCCTGAAGTCGACTGAGTGTTCTACAAGAAACTAGTCACTAGCATATATGACTTTCAGCATAGTCAATTAGCTACTTTATACGTTGGAGTCGCAGACTGTTGACTGACATGGAAATAAATAGAAGACTGGATATAAGTAACATTAAACCATGGATTTCGGAAAATACTTTAACCCGAAAGGAACATCTGGGACTTTTCGGATGCACCTAGTGATAAAAATTATTTTTCGGAAGACGAAATACCATCGCAAAGGCTATAGGTCAGTTCAGAGCAGATTAAAATGCCGTATTTTAAAGTGCTATTGCCGGTCACGAGTTGTTGGTATCACACAATCGTCCAACACAATCAATACCCTAACAGCCCTGAATTCACTATGTTAAATTGAAGTCGTTTCGCTAAAAAAAGTTTAAAGAAAACTTACGTATTCAAAGGGAAACAATTGTTAATCTCTTACTACTTTGATAACATGTTTCGGCAGGCCCATAATTTATTAACAGATCAATCGAATTTAGGATAACAGGTCTTGGATTGTGGTGCGAAATTCATCTACTAGTTTGGCTAAATATTATTTCAGCATTGTAGCTGATATAATTTTGTTATGAAAACTCTAAAGCTAATTCCTAACCCTAATAATCAACAGCAAATCATCATTCTAATTCCTCACACGGCTTTATAACCCTCATTTAGTCACAGTGGGTAAATGAACATCTTTAACGTGATTTTAGCGTTTTTCAAGTCGTCCATAAATTATAGTTTCACCTAAATTCCAGGGAAACTGCATCTTATATACATATGGGTAATTAACAGTAATGCATTACTTCCTAATCCGTGGAAATTTAAATTAATACTTGAATGTGGACCCTAATTCTTGCGATTCTCTTGGTGACATAAGAGACTAAATAAGATAATATTCAGACAGCCATTCAGTACTATAATTGTGCAAACGTCCGACGCCGGACGTTTAAAAACTGTATTTGTAAAGGATACTTCCAGGGGTTATGAAGGCAGAAACCAGCCATTCATTGAATCTGTCTACGACTTTTAAATATGTGTCTGCTTTCGACCACAGGTGATCATCAACCATATCCAATGCAGCATGTGCAATAAACTGATTTAGATGAAGACATTCATCTGCCTACACTTAGCGGCTGTTTGCAAACAATCAGACTACCTTTTCTCCTGTTGATTTGCCTGGTGAATTATAATCTAAATCAAATAATGCCTCATCATGAGGCCCACAAATAGCAAAATAATACCGCCCAACCATTTACTACAACGCAAAAATGGGTTTAGGCGCCAATGATTCAATTGTACAAGGCATGTTTGAAATTGTCCGGGAGGTTTTATGTGCTATAGTAACCTTGTATCCTCTCCAACTTAATCAAATGTCCATTCATTTATGATGTTTTTTCTGCAGTGACAGTTTGTCGATAGATACTAATGGGGAACAGTTGTGATACTTGTACTTTTGGATAATCAGTTGGGTACTATTATATTGTTGGTTTATGTCTCCGAGACTTATTTAAGTTTTGCAATAACGCGTAATATAAGTTACTCTCCTTCTGAAATGAAATCCGTGGATAGTATCATACTTCTCGCTGAATATATGCTGGGCTACTGCAGGGGAATGCACATGTGTACGGGTGGAGTGATGTCTGTGGACCATAGTCTAATCATCCAACAGTCGAGTCTCAGAATGTTGAACAGTTCATCGGTCTTCTTCAACGTCGAGGACAACCAATGCGTATCAGTTGGTTGCACGCCATGAACTGGATCATGCATCAGTGGTCTCAATCATTTACTTGTACCTACTCATACTAATATATTCTGTTATAACGTTATTTTTGTTGTGCCATCATAAACGCACTCACGGTAACTGAATACTACAGAAAAGCGACTTTCATCATGTAAAAACATAGAGGTGTAACTTTGATGAAAGCTAGGGATTCATACCGTATTCATCCAAATCTATTCAACCGCCATCATCAACACTGATCACTGAGGTTAGTAGTCTACAGTGGCCATTTTTTCTGTCATCAAACAGGGTGAAAACGTTAAATGATCATTTCCAACGTCAAAACGTTTCTCGATATAAATAGGAAGTAATACGGTATTCTGACGGTAAGCATTACTGAGACATCTAATTCATACTTCGTGTGAAATTCCAAGATCTTTTGGAAAATGATTTGAGCATTCCACAATGTTGCAGGCTGTGGCATGATTAGCACTCTGCAGCAACATTTAACACGGAAAGGTCAGAGATAATGAATACGGAAAATAACAGATCGGTATGTCATGGCTCACTATTGCAGGTGTGGTCATTTTGTGTAACTCACCCCTATTCACATCCAATATACGATACGGTCTCTAGCATGAATGTGTTCTTCGGAAGCGCTAAACATCATATTGATGTCATCAGTTGAGACGAGTCAGTATAGATCATGGTTTGACTCCCACGTGGGATGTTATAGATTAGGTAGCCGAATCATGATAAATATACATTTGTGAGACCATATCATTCGTTTTTCCATGAAAAAAGTTTGTTATGATCTACCACAGTCGGGGTAACTAGACTGCTTCAATTTGTACTCATCCGACGCTTGACATTCCTGCCCAGCTTAGTCAAGTCTGTTGGTAGCAGGTTTAGGATATAGGCGGAACTCAGGCAGTGCAAATTTTCTTCTGCCGTTTCATGTATTCACGTAAAAATCAATCAAATTTAGGAGCAAAAGATCAATGTATACCGTTTATTCCTAGTGGTCTCAATATTTACACATTGTCCTATCATAAATATATAGAGTCAATCGAGATATGTTACAGAAATACTTTTTTTAAATGCAGGCTCTTGATTTTAACTGTACAAACGGACCAAGACCATTGAAAAGCATTTTCGGCTATGCGTTCAGGTCAGAAACGCTGAACTTATGCCTACTAATGAACTCGTAGTACTTGTACATGTCGTATAAATGAGCTACAAGAGCTAGTTACAGAAAATATTTAGAGAGATCTGGTAGGTTATCGATACAGTACGCCATTCAGCACACAGCAAATATGGTCGGGCGAATTACGATGATCATGATCCAGGTTTGTTAACTAGATTTAGTATTTGTGCCTAATAATTTGGAATTACGATTAGAATACATCGTATAAGTTTTAGCGTTATGATAAAGATCTGAATATTATGATTTATGGTTTAGTAACTAAAAATTGCTTTTAAATTTCCTGTAAGTTATAACGCTCAATCAAACACTAAAACCTAAGTCTTAACCATAACCAAAAACCAGCCCTTACCCCAAACTAAACATTTTAATTACGAATTAATTATCTTGTGTCTTTTTTGGGTCGATATTTCCGTAATAGGGTTAACTTCAAGCAGTCCCTCTGTAAGTTCACCCACGTCATCAGCCGTAGGCAACAATCCCGCCCGAAATGAAGGCCGTGACCTTAAAACGACCTCGGCACTCACCACCGGCTCACCCTAAAAATACACTGGATAATCTTGTGCCATCTGGTGCTAACCGTTTAATCATTGCAATGCCAATCGTTTTATATCCAATTAACTTTGTGACCCCTGAATAATACACTTTATTGTCATCATATTCATATTCGGTCTCCTCTAACTTCAGAAGACTGGGCTACCAGAGTGCAGTGTCTCTGTTTACCAACATCTAGTATATACTATACGACCCAATAGATGTAATGAGGTGGCCTCGTTATACCCCCTTAACTATTCACCAAACCAAGTTTACCTTGTCTTAAATTTATTGGAAACGCTTCAGAAAATTCAGATTGGCTTTTCGAATCTACCATCACTATCCTAGTTGTTTGCTAAGTATGACATACCAAAAACGTGAACCAGGCTGACATCTTCCTATACTACATAACCCTGGAAGCTGCGATTTGTTTAACATCTCTTCAGAAGGCTATAGTATGTTACATCCTAGAGACTGTTTAATTTTATCAACACAAGTGTTTTGTTTATTTGGTATACGACATCAGAGTTAACGTCATTACTTAAAATCTACTTGCTGTAACAGAAAAACCCATCTTTTAGAAGTAAACTGCTCAGTCAGCTTGATCCTTCTACGCCTTGTGGCAGATAACGGCATTGGATCAAATCTAGAACTTAGCGCGCGATTCAACTCAATCACATCTTGTCTTCTTGACAGTAATGTTATTGTGTCCTAGTTAAGTACATCATAACTGTGGTTGGAAAATGACGATCCCAGTCAGCTAACTTACTGCAAATATTCAATATGAAAACAATTTCTTTAAACTGCTTTTTGACATGTTTATAACAATAACAATAATAATTTATTCGGAAATAACAGTCTGTTATATGAGGCATGCCAGTTTACGGGCAAGATCAAATTGTTACAAAAGATACAGTCTTCACTGTGGTGGGTTACTCAGTTTGGTGTTTCATAAGGTATGAGGGAAAAATATGGGGGGAAACACATCTCACATATGAATGCAAATGATTTTAATAAGATCCGTACTGTCAATATGACATTTGGCGCGCTATATGAAGGTGGCGTTGCGAAGTGCAACTCAGTCCCTTATAAATTCACTAAAATTTGAGAATTATAAACTGTAACCTAATACTCTTATGGAACATCTCAGGCACTGTTGGTTGCTCAAGGCAAAGTCACATGTTCCATATGTGTTATTAATGGCATATCATGAGAGCTGGAAAAGAGGATAAGAGAAATAGAGGACGAGAAGTAAATTAGACAATGTTCATGCCCAATGAAATTGTGTCATTTGCGGTAAAATAGTGAAAGTACGACCACTTAGTCTAACTTTCTATTATTAAAGTTTGTTTTAAGCGCGAGCATTCTAGCAGGACAAGGAAAAGTGTAAATATGGTATGAATGGACAAAGAACTGTATAGATGGAGTTGATTCAAAAGGAAGCTGAGTGTATAAACTATGCCCAAGCTTTAAAATTGCGTTGTTACTGATTTATCAAATTAACTATCGATTTCCTCACTTTTTAGAATGCCTGTTTTCTGATGGAGCATAAGTGAGTTCTGTCAACTTTTCTCTCAACGGCAACATACAAGATAGTTTGTATTGAGTCTATTGTTAATTGTACAACATGGCTACATCACCTTTTAATAACCAAAATCCCTATCGTGCTGTTGTCATCTCCTGTAAAGCGCCAGCACGTTCTAACAATTATGAACACAAAATTATAACCATAACTGTACGCTTCGATGACAATACGATAGGTTGTTTCATGGAACCAGTCCAAGAACTGTCTTGAAACCACATGACAGTAGAAACTGATCCATCTATCGTCAAAGATTTCAACAGTCGTGAAAATTATTACATTATCTTATTTTTTCACTTGTCTCAGACGATAAGAGCATTTGAATCTTTTTCTTAAATACCATGTTTTAGCAGATCAAGTCAAGCTTAAGACAGCTGGATTATGATCCACTTCGTTGCTAGCATTACTATGATAACAGACCTAACCTTAAAATTATAGATGTGTCATGATACGACTGCCTAATCCGTAAGATCTTAAGTAGAAGTGACATCATTGTTTACATTGGCTCATCGCATCTAAACAAGTAACATCATGACATCTTCAGTTTCTAAAGAACTTATTTAAGTTTATAATGGGATAATATATTCAATGTGAGCCAGAACCAACTATACTGAATGGTCACGTCTGTGAGGCTGGGCCATGCCATCCGACTGAAATGAATATTCGCGCGTTCTCCACTATTAACCTTCTATTCGCTTCAATTGTTGAACATAAATCTTTTCAGTAGTTATATGCTCGGCTTCAAGGGTCGCGTGGGTGTGTTCAATGCCACTACAACTGCACAAACTAATATAGCCTTTAGTGAAGATTCATATATATGTAAAGTTTACAGTGAAGTATTTACAGTTAAAATTAAAATACGTATGGCAAAAATTCGGATGAACATTTTCTTTGTCATGTTTACGACAGAGTAGGTTGGTCTCACCTCGAAAATGCACGAGACAAATATATGACATGCATTTGTAAGGCTTCTTCACAAAACGCGTAGATGGACTGGTTTCGTAGCACGTGAGAACATGTCTTCCGCTTCAAATTTCTAAACCACATTATATTATCGAGATTTGTCGTTTGCAGCTGTTTAATTTTCTTTTACGAAGCCATATATATCACCTCACCTCAAAAATGAGATAATACACAAGTCTCAGTAACGTAAGCATGATATTCGCCTACTTGAAAGTGAGGAAAAAAGGAAGATAATAATGACAACAGAATAATAATAATAAACCAGATTCTGTGTAACTGAGAAGAATAGTGAGTTG